CAAGACGACCCAGACAGGCCCCCAAGACGGCTTCCGACGGCGTCAGACAAGCCAGGAACACCCTAAGACGGCCAAAGAGGCCCCCAAGAAGCCCCGAAGGCCCCCCCAAACCCTCCAAGAGGCCCCCAGGAAACTCCGAGGAGGCCCCAGGAGTGCCCCAAGACCTCCTCCTCCTCCTCCTCCTCCTCCTCCTCCTCCTCTGTTTTTTCTCATCATCCCCCTCCTCCGCGTTCACCGAAGTCTTTCCAAACTGACTCCGGGAACAGCTGGCCCGATAGCTTGGCCGAGCTCAAACCCAACTTTCGGCCACGCAGGCGCTTCCAAAAAGGCAGGGGGCGGCGGTGATTCGCCGTAGGCGTCTTCGATCCGCCGCCCCCTGTTGGCTTGTGACAGGGTTGCCCGGCGTGCTGGATCCCTGCGATTTCGGCTTTGGTGCTTTTCCAAAAGAACTCTCCCTGGGGCTTCGGCCGATCCCGCCGGGGTCCCGGAAAGGGCCCGCAACCACCTCAACGACTGCAAAAAAATCTCCAGGCCGGCTCAAGATGGCCTCTAAGATGGTCACGTTGGCGCGAAATGGCCTCCAAAATGGCCAAAGATGGTGTCCAAGTCGCCAAAGATGGTCCAAGATGGCTTCCACGACGGCCCGAGAGAGTCCAAGATGCCTTCAAGTTCGTCCAAGAAGCCTCCAGTACGGCCCAAGATGGCTCCAAAATTGCCCTAAGACCGCCCAAGAGAGCCCCAAGAGTCATGTTGCTCCCATCGTACTTAGGGACCACATCCTAAAAATAATTTCGCGAGCAACCGTAGAAGTGTCGAAACAGCGTCGAAACAGTGTCGAAACAGTGTCGGACGAGTGTCCCCCAGGGCCCGACACGTGAAAACCCACGATTTTCTGTACATTCTCTTGGTGCTCGAAATTCTTTCTGGTGGTCAAGGCTAAAGTATGTTGGAACATCATAACCCAAGAGCCCTCCAGGAGCTCCACCAGGAAGACCCGAAAGGACGAAATTCATAGGTTTCCTTCGGTTCTTGACAAAGTTTGGCGTTTCGTCTTTTCAGCTCTCCGACGGCCGAAGACGGCCCAAAAGGCCTCCAGCATAGCCCCAAGAGCGCACAAGAGGCCTCCAAGATGGCCCCATGACAGTCCAAGAGACCCCCGAGAGGGCCCCAACAAGACCCCAAGACAGCCCAAGAGGCCCCCAAGACGCCCAAGGTGGCATCCAAGACAGACAAGATGGCCTCCAAGATGCCTCCAAGACGGCCAAGAAGGCCTCCAAGACGGCGAAGATGGCCCCAATATGCACCCAAGACGGCCGCAACTGGCCTGAAGATAGCCTCAGACTGCCCAAAAGGCCCGCCAGAGACCTTCTAGACGGACCAAGAGTCCTCCAAGACTTCCTCCAAGAAACCCGAAAGGTTGAAAACCACCTGGTCCGATAGCTCGCCCGACTCCGTGTTCCCCGAAAGCTTTCGAAACCCACTCGGGGAACGCGTGGCCCGACTCGGGGAACGCGTGGCCCGATAGCTTGGCCAAGCTCAAGCCCAACTTTCGGCCACGCAGGCGCTTCCGAAAAGGTAGGGGGTGGTGGTGATTCGCCGTAGGCATCTTCGATCCGCCGCCCCCTGTGGTCTTGCCACATGGGTGCCTGACGTGCTAGATCCTACTGGTTTGGCTTTGGGTCTCCCTTGCAAAAACTCCTTCTGGGGTTTTGGCCCAGCGCGCCGGTCACCCGGAATGGTCCGCCCGCTGCGCTGCACCAGCGTCTCCCGAAACGGTCGTTTCGCCAGGGGCATCCTTAACAAAAAGGCGATCTTGGGGATCCTGGCCCAAGACGCCTTATGATAATCATGAGCGTTTCGCACGAGACATCCTCGAACAATGGCGATGCTGACATCGATGGTCTCATCTTCGAACCTTCCAAGATGGCCATTTCGCTGCAGACATACTCAAACAAATGTAATGCTGCAAAGGAGTGGATCGAAGATCATGTCGGAGCGCTCTCCTGTGACCTTCAAGGTGGCCCAAGACGGGCCAGACGGGCCTGAAGGCTTCCAAGACGGCCCGAGATGGCTCCAAGATGGCCCAAGACGACCCAAGAGGCCTCCAAGAGGTCCTCCAGGAAGGCCCGAAGAGACCAAACGCATTGATTTCCTCTGGTTTTTGGAGGATGGTGACACTTGCCTCTTTTCGGCCTTGCGACGGCCCGAGACTGCACAAGAGCCCTCAAAGATCGCCCCAAGGTCGCCCAAGATGCCTCCAAGATGGCCCCAGAATGGCGAAGATTCTCCCAAGACGGCCGAAGAGGCCCCCAAGACGCCAAAGGTGGCCTTCAATATGGCCCTGGAGCACCCCCAGAGGGCCAATCTGCCCAGAGTGGCCCCCGAGACGGCTTCCGACGGCGTCAGACGGGCCAGGAATGCCACCAAGACAACCCTACATGGCTCCGAGATGGCACAAGACGGCCCAAGAGGCCCCCAAGAGGTCCCCAAGACGGCCCAAGAGACCTCCAAGAGGTCCTCCAGGATGGCTTATTTTTTTTCGCTAGGTTGTTGAAGGATGTTAGCATTTGCTTCTTTTCGGCCTTCCGACGGCCCGAGACGGCCCAAGAGCCCTCAAAGATCGCCCCAAGATCGCCCAAGATGCTTCCAAGATGGCCCCTAGAACGCCGAAGAGGCTCCCAAGACGGCCCCAAGGCGCCCAGGTGGCCTCCAATAAGGCCCTGGAGCACTCCAAGAGGGCCCCAAGTCGGCCCAGAGTGGCCCCCAAGACGGCTCCCGACGGGCCAGGCATGCCCTGAGACTGCCATAGATGCCCCCGAGAAGCCCCCCGAAGCCCCCAAGAGGCCCAAGAAGGCCCCTAAGATGCCTCCAAGAGGCTCCCAGGAAGTTCCCAGGAGGCCCCAAGAGTGCCCCCATAGGCTCCCAAGGTGCCTCCTCCTCCTCCTCCTCCTCCTCCTGATCTGCCCCGCCATCCTTGCCCAAGGTCCGATAATTTGGCAGAGCTCTTGCCACAACGCTCTGCCACATCGGCGATTCCAAAAGGCAGGATGCGGCAGGGTGGGCGATTCCAAAGGCAGGGTGCGGCGCCCTATCCACCGCCCGCTGGGATCCCATGACGTCGGTTCCCAAGCGTTGGATATGGATACAGGTACATTCTCACCTCGCACTGGGGGGGCCTACCGTTGAAGGAATCGAATCTGCAGCAATCACACCCCTCCCCCCGCCCACAATATTGAAGAAGTACTTCCAGAGAAGAAAGGCCATACATATTTTGAACCCAACATTCCGAACGCAATGATGTCCAAAGCTAAGTCCCGGGAGTGGAGGGCGGAGCTGGGTTCTGTATTGTTCAGGCGCTGTTGCTGCAACACGCTTTCCCTGACCGTGGACCCTCTTCGCTTTTCACAGGACTGGCTTCGAACGCAAGCTTTCTCGACCCTCCAGGGCACATTCCCCGACCAACGCCCCCCCCCCCCCCCCCGCACGCGGTGACCGCGAGGGAAGGGGAGCGAGGAGAGGGAGGAAGGGCAGGGGAGAGGGAGGAAGGGCAGGGGGCGGCCACGGAGAGGAGAGGGAGGAAGGGCAGCAAGGAGAGGGAGGAAGGGGCAGGAGGAGAGGGAGGAGAGGGAGGAAGGGGAGCAAGGAGAGGGAGGAAGGGGAGCAAGGAGAGGGAGGAAGGGCAGGAGGAGGGGGAGGAAGGGCGGCAGCGGCGACGGCACCTTGGACGGGCAGGCGTGGGCAGCGGAGAGGGAGGAGGGGCATGGGAGAGGTGCCCCAAGGACGGGCAGAGAGGCCTCCCTGTCCTGACCCTTCTGAAAGGGGGAACCCAGGACACACACACACACACATAAGTACACACACGTAAAAGGATTCCCCATATCTTCCCATGTTTTCTGGGTTTTTTCTTCCCCCCACTTCCCATATTTTCCCATATTCTCCAGAGAGTCGACGATGAATTGTGTCTGTGTGTTTCTTTCCCGCCTAACCTTCCAAGACCACCCGCCCTCCCACCTTTCTTTTCGACCGGGGCACGCCGACCAGCTCCGATCCGAGGGGGGGGGAGGGGCGACCCTTGGACGAGGTCGGGCATGTCCTCCTACAGGCGGACTTGGGAAGAAAGGCAAGACCTAGCCACCGCATGTTCAAACATAGTCGAAAGAGCATGCAGCATCGCCCCCCGACCATTTTCCACCACTCTCGAATCTTCCTCCTGTAGAGGGACGTGCCCGACTTCACCCTTGGAGGAGCGAGGGGGTGGGTACAGCTAGCCGGTGAGAAAGCACAGCCGGGCCGGGTAGTTTCACACGCCCCCACACATGAAAATGCCCCGCGGCGTCCGCCGGGAGCGCCTCGCCGCCAGGGGCCGTGGCCACAGAGCCCAATGCCCAGGGGTGCGCCCGCGTGGCAGGGCGGGGGGCCCGCTCGGATGCCCCCGGGGCCGAGGGAGGGAGAAGGCGGGAAGGAGGGAGGAGCAGGAAGGAGGAGCGAGGAAGGAAGAGGGAAGGAGGGAAGAGGGAAGAGGGAAGAGGGAGGAGGAGGAGGAGGAGTAGGGGAGGAGAGGAGGAGGAGGAGGAGGCGAGTAGGAGGTGAGGAGGAGGAGATGTGGAGGAGGTGAGGAGGAGGAGGAGGACTAAAGGGAGGAGGAGAGGAAGGATGGAGGAGAGAGAAGGAGGAGAGGAGGAGTAGGAGGAGGAGGGAGAGGAGTGGGAGGAGGGAAGGCAGAGGAGGAGGAGGAAGGAGGAGGATGAGGAGGAACGAAGGAAGAGGAGGGAGAGGAAACGAGGAAGAGAGGGGAGGAGGGAGGGAGGGAGGAGGGAGGGAGGAGGTAGGGAGTGGAGCGGGGAAGGGAGGAGGAGGAGAGTAGGAGAGGAAAGGAGGAGGAAAGGAGGAGGAGGAGGAGCAAACGGATAGAGGGGGTAGCGGGCAGATACGGGCAGCGGACCAGCAGCAGCAGCGGCATCAGCTGCTGTACGATGGCTCGTGCCGCAAGCGCCGTGGTCCGCGCGCCGGAAGCAGCACCTCGTCGGGCGTGCCGCGCAGCGCTCGGAAGATGGACTGGAGCTGCTCATCTTCGAGGCGCTCCGCGAGGGCCTCCCACGTGCCTCTGGCAATCCTCATGGCAGCCGGGGCCACTGGGACAACAGTGGAGCTGGGGCGCCTGCTCCACCCTTCCCCCTGCTCCCTCCCCTCCTCCCACCTCTGCTCCTCCCTAGTCGGCTCCTCCCCCTCCTCCTCCACCTCCCACCACCCTCCTCCCCTCCCTCGCCTCCCGCCCTCCCTCCCTCCCTCACCCCTCCCTCCCTCCATCCCTTCCCTCCCTCCCTCCCTCCCTCCCTCCCCCTAGCCCTCCCTCCCCACCTCCCTCCTCCCTCCTCCCTCCTCTCTCCTCCATTCTCCCTCCTCCTCCCCCCTCCTCTCCCCTCACTCCCATCCTCCCTCCCTCCCCTCCTCCCCTCCCTCCTCCCTCCTCCCTCCTCCCTCCTCCCTCCTCCTCCTCAACCACTCTCCCCTCTCCTCTTTCTCCTCCACACCCGTCCCTCCTGCTTCTGCTGCCCCTCCCCTCCCCCTCCCCAACCTACCCTTCGCCCTCACCCACCTTCCCCCCCCATTCCCACCTCCCCCTGGGGTGGGGCGCATCCCGATCTCCCTGATTACGGCTTGTAGCGCGCCGAGATCCTGGGCCTCTCCCCGGAGTCGAAGATCGGGACGCAGTTCTCCGTGATGCCGACGGTCCAGCTGGAAAGGTTCATGACGGCGTGCCACCTCGACACGAAGGAAGCGGGCCCCGAGGGGCACGAGTCCTGGACCCCGCCCCAAGCCCTCGTTAAAGGCTTAACGACTTCTGCCGTCCTTCGACTCGCGCTGGAGCGGCCGCGAAGTGCTCGAACTTTCCCTGGAGATCTCTGGACTTACCTGGATTTACCCAGATTTATCTAGATTTACCTGGATTTACCTCGATTTATCAGCATTTACCTGGGTTTATCTGGCTCGATTCTCACAAGTCGATTGGCGAAAAGTCGACAAGCCCTAAGGGAAGCCCTCCCCCGGGACCCGCTCGTCGTCCCGAGCCGGTCGCCGGCGGCCCCCGCAGGGCCGAGAGCGGGGGAGAAGCCTCCGGGCCCCGCTTGCTTCACGGCGACGCCACCAGCCGGTGGGCACCCACACGACGTCCCCTGCCGCCGCGACGAAGTCGACCGAGCGCGCCCGCTGCGCGGGCGTGAGCCGCTGCCACACCGCGCCCAGGTCCTCGAACCAGCCGTAGGTGTCCGGGGCCCCCGCGGGGCCGTGCGCGGCGTGGACGGCCTGCTCCAGGTGGAGCACCCGCCAAGTCGGAAGAAGCGCGAGGAGACAGCAAGTACGGTCGGCCTCGTTTGTTTGGACAGGACACGCGAGAGGGCACAAAGACCCCTCCGAGGGCCACATCGCCATTGGAGTGTGTGAAGGCGCGTGTCGCGAGGCACAGGACACAAGGGTACCCTTGATTTGGCAGGGTCGACCTACTAATCCGGGCCGACTGTAGGAAGGCGGATCAAGCACACTGGGTGCAGGCGCGCCCAGATGATAGCAAGAAACAGCAAACACATACCGATGATTGAAAGAGTAGGGCTCGGACCTGGCTGTCCAGAAGTGCGCGCCTTCAGCGACTGGCGTGTTCGTAGAGCCCCCCCATGCCACCCCGCCCGACGGCCCATTCTGGCACCCCGACGGCCATCGAGGCCACCCCCTCAAGCGATCCAGCCCCCCCACGCCCCGAGAAGGACAGCCCATGCTTACCCCCCATGCGACCCATCCCATCCACGCGGAGTGAGCAACTCGGCGTACCCAGCCAAGGAAAAACATTCGGTGGTAACCCATGGCAGAGCCTCCCATACCACTTGTCGGCTTTTGCGATCGACGCTAATCGACGCTACATCCACGCTAATCGACGCTAGCCGACGCCAAGTCGGCGCTATACGCCCAGACGCTAATCGACGCTAGCCGACGCTAGAGACGGAAGTAAGAGGGTAAAGCAGGCTCCCAGGATTTGCCACCGAGAACATGTTAGCGCTGCCGATGTGCAAGTGGGTTATTTCTCTGCCGATGTGCAAGCTAGCTGTGGCTATTGCGCCGACCAGCAGGTTGTGGCGCTGCCGATGTGCAAGCCAGACCAGCAGGTTCTTGCGCTGCCGCTGTGCAAGCTGGCTGTGGTGCAGGCTGGAGGCGGCCACGCGGCGGCAGCGTGGCGAGACGCCTCTCCGGACCCACCCGACGCACGCGGCGGCAACCGGGGCGGCAACGAGGCGGCAGCGTGGCGAAGCCTCGCCCGGCCCAGGCAGCGCGCGGGGCAGCAGCGATGCGGCAGGGAGGCGGCAGCGCCCTACCCATTCACTTCCTCGGCACAGTCGGCCCGCAGCAGGAGGGCGCACGATGAGGATGCAGGGCACGCGGACGCCCATTTCGAAGATTTTCGGCGCGGCCAACGCAAGTGGCCAAGAAGGGGCCGAGGAGGGGAGGATGCAAGGCTACCCTTGGGAGGGTCTCCTCCTCCTCCTGAACCTCCTCCTCCTCCTCCTCCTCCTCCCTCCCCTCTCCTCCTCCTCCTCCTCTCCTCCTCCTCCTCCTCCATCCTCCTCGCTCCTCCTCCTCCTCCCTCCTCCTCCTCCCTCCCTCCTCCTCCTCCTCCTCTCCTCCTCCTCCTCCTCCTCCTCCTCCTCCTCCTCCTCCTCCTCCTCGTGCAAGCGCTGCCTGGGGAACCTGCGCAGACATCTCGGCCGCCGGTCTCCGCGCGCCGCGCGCCGCATCGCGCGGTGCGCGCGCAGGCGCCCGCGCGAGAAGGGGGATCCGCTGACCCGGGTCAGTCCAGACCCCGGTCAGTCAGGCCTGGCGGGATCCTACAGTTGGGGCGTTGACCTAAGGAACCCTAAATAAGGAACGAGGTCCCTCTTTTCCATCAGTTAAACTTCGATTTCCGATCGAAAACATAAGGGGAACCTGAGGCAAGCTGTGAAACACTTAAGGAACGCAGCCCCTCCCCAACCAAAAGGGTTCCTTCTTCAGGGCCCCGACTGTAGAGGAGCCCGCAGGATCCTGCACCCAAATCCGGGTCAGTGCACCCCTGGCCCCGCAGGGCCATGCAAGATCCAGCGCGGTGACTGACCCCCCTTGACCCCGCCCCTCGAGCGCCGAGCGAGGCCGCCTCCTCGGCGCACCAGCGGCTCTCTGGCCCAGCGAGGCGCAGCTATCTGGCGGCGCCCACGACCCAGACCCCGACGCCATGATTTTGTTCACGACGTGGACCCCCAAAGGTCTTAACCCATGCCCCGGGACTGGCTCTCCTTTGCTGGCAACTCATGGAAGTCTCCCATTACATCTTGTCGGCTCTTGCAAAGCGACGCGAGTCGACGCTAAATCGATGCTAATCGACGCTGCATTGACGCTGAACCGGCGATATCTCGTCGACCCCCATACGGTAATCGGCGCTAGAGACGGAAATTCGCCGGCCCAACGGGCCAGAGGCGTGCTAAGATCTCCGGTAACTTGTTAACAATATTTCTAGTTCGCGCGCGCGGAGCGGCCCCTGGGGGCCCCCGGACGAAAAGTACCCCGGCAAGGTCCCGAGAGAAGCCCGGGAGAAGCCACCAGACCACTCCAGGGGAGGGTATTTTTCGACACCCCTCACGAGGATCGTGGCCTCCGAGGGGGGAGCCGCAATCGACTACCCCCAAGAGCCCCCCAAGAGGCCCTGGGGGCCTCCAAAACGCCGCCAAGGAGCCCCAAGAGACTCCCAAGAGGTCCCCAAGAGGCCCCCAAGAGGCCCTAAAGAGGGCTCCAGGGCCGGCGGCATGAGCGAAGCGATTAAATAAGAGGGTATGCCAGGTCCCGTGCCTTGCCACCGAACTCTCCACCCTGAAGAAATCTGTCTCGCGGCCCCGAGGCCCGGCGGGGGGCCCCAGAGGCCGCAGACTGCGAAACACCTGCCGTCGTGCTCTCGCCGTGAGTCGCCGCGCCGATTGCCCAGAGCGCGCCGAAGAGGACGACGCCGGCACCGCGGCAGACCCACGGCAAACCCGGCGGCCCGCGCCCCAGCTGACGACGCCAGCACCGCGGCAGGCCCGCGGCAGGCCCTCCGCGCCCGCGGCGGCGCCCGCCGCGGTGGGCGCGGCTAACCCCCCCCCCAGGACGCAAGGCCGTGCGGGGGAAGACACGGCGCGGCGACAAACGGCGGACCCTGGAAGCCCTGGAACCAAAACATGTTGTCGTCTTGTCGTCTCGAAAGAGGAGGAGGAGGAGGTGAGGAGGAGGAGGAGGAGGAGGAGGAGGAGGAGGAGGAGGAGGAGGAGGAGGAGGAGGAGGAGGAGGAGGAGGAGGAGGAGGAGGAGGAGGAGGAGGAAAGGGTCGACTTTTGCTGCCGCCGGCTTCCGCCAGCGGGGCCGCCGCCGTTCTGCTTCCGCCGCCTTCCGCCGAGGAAGAGATGACAACTCCGTCCATCCTCGAAGGCGAAGCTCTTTTTGGAACGCCTCATGTGGCGAGGAGGAGGAGGAGGAGGAGGAGGAGGAGGAGGAGGAGGAGGAGGAGGAGGAGGAGGAGGAGGGAGGAGTCGAGCGTGCTCAGGAGCGCGTGTCTGTCGTGATTTACTGGCGATCTTGTGTATCTGTGCATGCACATGCAGGGAAGGCGCTCAGGAGAAGAACCTCGGAGCACCCAGGGCAGACGTCGCTGTCGCGCGGTTCGTACCGCGAAAGGTTGATCTGCTTCACTTTGACGGCAAGCCCGCGGCCCCATGGCCAGGTATACCACCGCCCAACCTTCGTGCCGAAACTCGTGTTGGTCCCTGGGATGCCGTTCAGGTCAGTCCGTCCAACTAACCCCTGAATCCGAACATGCGACACACTGCCTTGCAAGAAACAGGGGTCTTCGTCTTCTTCGCTTGGTACTGCGTCTGTTTCTTTTTCTGATTCTTCTTCGCTGTATGTTTATTCTTCTTCTGCTTCTTCACTTTTGCCTATGTCTTTGTCTTCGTCTTCCTCTTTGCCCCTGCCTTCTTCACTGCATTCGCCTTTGTATTTTTTATATTTGTCTTCTCCTTTGTCTTTGTCTTTATCTTTGTCCTTGTCTTCCGCAGCGCGGGGGTCGTAGTCTTTGTCTTCGTCTTTTGTCTGATCTTCATATTTAGGCTTACCTTTGTCTTTTTCTAGTTCGGCTTCTTGACACAGATCTTGATCCGCTGTTGAAGCTTGGTTGAAGCCGAGGGCTCCTTGCTGGGTGGCCTTGTCCCAGCTTGCCGCCGCTTCGCCTTCGCCTTTATCTTTGTCTTTATCTTTGTCGTTGTCCTCGCCGTTCTCTGTGTCTTTGTCTTTGTCCTTTGCTTCTGGTCGAACAAGGTCTTCGTCCTCTTTCTTGTCCGTGTCTTTGTGGGGCCTTTCCTTGTCTTCGTCTTTTTTTCTTATCTTCATTCTTATGCTTATATTTGCCATTTTCTTTGTTGGGATCTTGACTCAGATCCTGATCCGCCTTTATAGCCTGGTTGGAGCCGAGAGCTCCCTGCTGGGTGGCCTTGTACCAGCTTGCCGCCGCTTCGCTTTCGCCTTTGTCTTTGTCTTTATCTTTGTCGTTGTCCTCGTCGTTCACTGTGTCTTTGTCTGTGACCTTTGCTTCTGGCCGAACCTGGTCTTTGTCCTCTTTCTTGTCCGTGTCTTCATGGGGCCTTACCGCTCGCGTGTCGGACGTGTCGGACTTCCTCCGCTGCTGCGACTTCCCGACCCTGTCCTTGAAGAGCTGGTGGTCCGCCTTGAGCTTCTCTATCTCCAGAAGCACTCGGGTGTGGAAGTCTGCCTGCTTTTGTTGGGAGTCCTGGACCGACGCCGAGATAGTCCCAGCGGTGCTCTGGAGCGCATCCATGAGCAGTTGGGAGGTGGATTTGAACGTCTCCGACACAAGCTTGACAGTAGAGCTGGTCTTGTAGTGAGCGAACTCGATATGAGCGATCCTGTCCTTCAGCATGTCGAGCTCGAGGTCAGTCGGGACGGACGCGTCCGAGGCATCCGCAACGCTCACTTGCAAGCCAACGTCATCACAGCCGTCAGCTTCTTGCCACATGCCAGGGGCCCGCGGCACGGGCACTAGTCTCTCTAGCAATACAACCTGTTTGAGATTCTGCATGTCATCCACGGTAAAGACTCCAGCCACGTCCGCGGCTGTCCCCTGTACTCCGGCGCCGAGGACAGGACCGAGTGCCGGAGAGGTTGAAGTCGCCGAGCTTGCACAACAACCAGCCACCAACGCGGCAGGAGCCTGCCCCCAGGGAGCAGAAAAACCACCACCAACACGATCATCACCGAGGTCTTGGAGAACGGCCTCGCAGTCCGCAGCCACCATCGCGGCAGTCTTTTTTGGGGATGGACGGCTGGCGGAGAAGATCTTCCCCACCCGAGGCAGGTCCTTCTTGACATGATCCAGAAAATCGTAAACCAGCGCGCGGTCCTTGTCTGATGAGGTCTCCTCCGAGAGTGCCATTAGAGGTCGGTGTCGTGAACGAAGCGCCCTTCTTGAGATGCGACGGGCGGCCAGAGCGGCCTCGGCCGCGCCAGCGGAGCCCTCGTCGTCCATGAATCTGCACACCCGGTAGGGTCCGCTGCAGGAGTGGAGCTCGAAGCCCATCGCCCTGCTGAAGTCAATCTGCAGGGAGAGTGCGAGTTCGAAGGCTTGTACCCGAAGTCGAAGGTCATCTCCAGCAGCATCAGCATGTGCTCTGATCGTGTCTTCGCTTTGTTCCTTGTCTTTATCTTTGACGTTCACGTTGTCGTGTTCTTTATATTTGCCTTTGTCTTTGGCTTCTGCTCGAACTTTGTATTTCTCTACATTCTTGTCCGCCTCCGAGCGGGAAGCCGAGGTAGGAGCGGCAACGGGGTGTGTTGAGCATCGTGATGCAAGAGAACGAGCTAGCGCGTGCTTCTTGTCCGAGGCATCACCGGTGGACAGCACCTTGATCCTGTTGATGAGACGGCGTCGCTTCGCCTCAGCACTGCGGCAATGTGTACTGCGCTCACGAGTCGCCGATGCCGCCCTCTCAACTTCGATGTCACACCATCGGCCACGATCAGCGGCCGTTGCCACCATCAGGAGCTCCGCGAGCACAACCACAAGCGCGGCAGGTGAGAGAAGGCGGAAGCTTCTCAGCGCCATGAAAGCATCTGAGCGATTCCAGCCACGCGCGCGGCCGATACCCCAGCCTTTGTCTTGAGCCAAAATGGCTACGGAAGGAGGAGGAGGAGGAGGAGGAGGAGGAGGAGGAGGAGGAGGAGGAGGAGGAGGAGGGAGGAGCGAGGAGACGGAGGAGGAGGAGGAGGAGGAGAGGAGAGGAGGAGGAGGAAGAGGAGGAGGAGGAGGAAGGGGGAGGAAAGGGAGGAGGAGGAGGAGGAGGAGGAGGAGGAGGAGGAGGAGGAGGAGGAGCAGGAGGAGGAGTGGGGGGAGGAGGAGGAGGAGGAGGAGGGAGGAGAGGGAGGAACGCCCCCCATGACTCGAGGGGTCTGGGGAGGGGGTGGCGCCAGGGGGGTGTGGGCTTCTGGGGCGGCGGCCCTCTCCGCGCCCTCCCCTCCCCAGACCCCGCTCGGCTCGGCGAGGTTCTCAAGGCTCGAGGATCGAGGGCGCAGCATCGAGGCTCGAGGGCTCGAGGGCTCGAGGGCTCAAAAGGCCTCGAGGACCGAGGGCTCGAGGACCGGGGGCTGGAGGCTCGCAGCATCGGGGATCGAGGCTTCGAGGATCGAGGCTTCGAGGGCTCGAGGCTTCGAGGCTCCGAGGCTCGAGACCTCTGGGCGCCTCCGGGCCCCCTCGGCGCCCCACGCCGTGGCCCACGAGACGCGGACTCTCCCGGAGGGTCGCGCGGTGCCTCGGGTCGGCGCTGGATCCCTCCCCGGGTGCGCGGAGCTCGGGCGTTGCCTCCCGGCTCGCCATCGGTTGGCACGTCCGTTCCCTGTGCATGTTTCGAGTTCGCGCGCGCAGGTCTCGCAAGACGATCCAGAACGAGAATGTTCCTCGACCGTCCTCGCCCCCAGAAAACGCACACGTCCGAGCGATGCCAAGTCAGAGATCCGACGCTCCGACAAAATTGGAGCGTCCAGTTATGTTTTGCGGCTGGGGGCCCTTGCCGGGCCTCGGGGCCGTCAAACAGCGACGCAGGAGGGAACACTAGCCCTATAAGGAAGTGGTCCAGAACTCTGGGGCCCACGCAGCGAACAAACTAGAGCGGCCAGGTGTCTGGGTTCATGGGGGGGGGGAGATCAATCGGGGGAGGGAGCCACGTGCACGTGTCGTGCCCCTTCCTGGGCCCCATGGGGGCCCCATCGAGGCCCCTGTAGGACACAAGAGGTGCACCTACCGCCCCTCGTGTGTCGCCCACCCGTTGCGCAGCGCTAGAGGAGCGCGACAGGGGCGGCGCCGGAGGCGCCGCCGGGGTGGCTCCAACTCCGTTTCAAGAAACCGCGCGGACCTCCTTCAGTTTCTGTTTTTTATGTTTATTCAGGAGGGAAAGAAACACACAGACACAATTAATCGTCGACTTCCAGGAAAATATGGGAAAATATGGGAAGTGGGGGGGGAAGACAAAAACCCCAAAAATATAGGAAAATATGGGGAATCCTTTTATTTGTGTCTATTTATTTGTGTGTCCCAGTTCCCCTTCATTTATGTCCCCCTTCCGCCGTGGCTTCCGCGCCCCTTCCTCGGGGGAGCCTCCCCGCCGCGGCCTCCTCCGCCCCGTTTCCTCCCCCGCCGCTCTCCCCCTCCCGCCGCGCTCCCCGCCCCCCAAGCGATCTTTGTTAAAGGGGCCCCAGGACACACAAATAAAAACACACAAATAAAAAGATTCCCCATAGTTTCTCATATTTTCTGGGTTTCTGTCTTCCCCCCCACTTCCTATATTTTCCCATCTTTTCTGGGGAATCGAAGATTAATTGTGTCTGTGTGTTTTTTCCTCTCCTGATTTGTTACTTCCGCACCCTTCCGCCAACCTTCCGCCGGCTCCCGCCGAACCAAGAGATGACAAATGATTCACTTTGGGAGACAAGGGGGGGTCCGAAATCTCTCATGCATTAACGGGCGAAGAGCGGTATAAGATAAACTTTTGCGCCGTCGGGGGCACCTGCCCCAGGGCGGCTGGAAAGTTTCTACCCTTCCGGTGGCACCGTAGGGGTATAAACTTTCCAGCCGCCCTGGGGCAGGTGTCCCCGACAGCGAAAAAGTTTATGTTATACCGTTCTTCGCTCGCTGAATGTAGCTTTTGCTCCTCGACGGCCTCCTTGGCGACGTCTGGCGGCATCATCACCCAGCGCTTGGCTCCGCAGATCGTGGCGTTCCACGCGGAGGCTCGGGCGTTGCCGGAAGGTGGCCCTGGCCCAAAGCGACCCCGGTTTCGCACGGGGAGCTCCACATTTAGACGAGCGCGTTCCACTACTCGCAGAGTAATGCGGGATGACGATAAAAAACTATAAAAAATAGTTTTTTGCTATTGCTGCACAATTTTCTGACTGGAGGAGAACGATTGAAAGAGATAGTTTTCCAGCCCGCGGCCGGTTTTTTTCTAATCGTCATCCCAGGCGCCGCCGCGTGAACACGACCCCCGGTCATTTATTAATCGTCATCCACCATTAACTACTCGCAAATGGCCTGGATACGTCGCGGGGGATCTACGATACATTATATCGGAGCCGACATCTGTGTTTCGGACGTCTGCGAGTAGGCACTTTGCGAGTAGTGGAGCGCGCTCGGTGGACACTGCCTCCAGACCACCCCTCGCGAGGCTCAGCGTCCCAGAGGGCCTCAGGGGCTCCCAGATGGCGCGAGAACGACAAGCTGGAGACGCTTTGGGCCAGGATCATCTCTGACAGTCCCCGCGATGTAGCGAGCGGGTCCCTGTGGGGGAAACTTCCAGAGCGCCTGGGGCCCACCAGCAGCCAGCGGTGTGGGGGGCGCAAGTCCTCCTCCTCGATCAGCTTCAGCAGGTCCCTGCAAATGAGCGGCGCTTCGTACTCGTCGAGCATCCCGTCTGCCGGCGAGCTGCTGTCGTAGTCTCCGAATACGTCGTCGAAGATGTAGAGCGGGTTGCGGTGCCACGAAGCTTCCTCTTGGCAGTAGGCCGCGAAGTCGTCGAAACGAGCAATCACGACCACGTCGTCGTCGTAGTCCTTTTGCTTTTTCTTCCCCGCTCTCTACGTGTGGCATTATGGTTCGCCTCGCGCACTCCGCTCCTCCTCCTCTTTTTGCTCCTCCTTCTCCTCCTTCTCCTCCTCCTCCTCCGCCTCCCCCGCCTCATCCGTTCTTCCCACGCATATGTACACCTCAAGTACCACGTCCACACCAATATCGCACTAACCATGCCGAACGGCATTCCATACGTGCGCAGATACGTGTCACTACGCACCTCCATCTCGCACGAACACACACACACACTCACTTCCCAAGCGTGCTCGTTCCTCAACGACAGCAGTCGCATAGCCACCCCTGCTCGGACTGGTGCTCCCACCATCGGGCCTCGTTCCCAAACTGGAGCCGTCTTTTCTCCCCAGCGCGCGCCGCTCCCTGACGAGTCGTCTGTCGGGCGATCTCGCTCGTCGTATGGCGGCTCCTGGACCAGCGCCTGCAACACTCTCATTTGCACCGTGGTGGCCTCGCCCCAGATCGGCACGTCGGGTCGGGCGAAAAGGGGGATAGCAAAGGGGGGGGTTGAGAATCAGCTCACGTGGCTGATTTTCTCGGCGCCTCCCGGCGCCGGGAGGCGCCCATGTATCGACGAATGGGCCCCTCGGCGGGGCCGAGACCAGCTGCATGCGGCAAATTTCGTACCCCCCCCTTTCCCAATCCCCCCCTTTCGTCCGGCCCGAGCATGGTGCCATCGCCGTAGCACGGGCCGCGCCCGAAGCTCGGCACAGGTCTCGCCCCCCGCGGCGGGACACTCCCTGAAAGGGGCTGGGCGGGGGGTGAGCTCGCCCGTGGCCCCTGCGGCTCTCGCTGGAGCCTCGGCCGCCTTTTCCAGCCCGGAGTGGTGCCACGGAGGCCCCGCCGGGGCCCGACAAATTTAGAGTCGGGGCGTTGACCTAAGGAACCCTCAGTAAGGAACGAGGCCCCGTTTTTCCATGAGTTAAACTTCGATTCTCGATCGAAAACATCAGGAAAACCTGAGGCGTACTGTGAAACACTTCAGGAACACGGAGCCCCTTCCCAACGAAAAGGGTTCCTTCTGCAGGGACCCGACTGTACCGGAGTTTGCGCGCCCGAGCGTTGTCGCTTGCGCAGCTGGGCTCCCTGGCGCGGACGGCCGAACGACCCCTGCAGCGGGACGCTCTGGCAACACGGTCGGCCGCCACAAGAATCCTCGGTTCAACGCCGGCACCGAGCTGTGTTCTCGTCGCATCGGCGGCGACTCCCGGAGGGGTCGCTCGATGGGTGCGCTCACTCGATGTCAGGTGGCCCTCGCGATATCGCAGACCACGCTGCCAGCTCGGGATGGCGACCTGCCCGCAGCCCAGGCCACGCTCCCTGTCCGCAGTGGTGCCTTCGCTCCAGCACCAGGCAACCCATGGAGCGCCCAGCAGTGGGTGAGCTCCTTCGTCGCCTGGGGACGCTCGCCTCGGCGGGGGGTCCAATCCTCGGCTGGGACTGGTGCTCTCGCCCGGGTGTTGGCTCGGAATCCTGCTCTCGCGCCAGCGACGGCTGATTCCAAACGGATCGTGCGGTTGGCGAGTTCGCCGCTCGGTGGCCTCCGCCGCAGCGCAGGCCACCTTCCCTGGCTTCCGCAAGGGGCGTCGCGCAGTGGGTGACCTCACTCGCAGCGTTCCGGCTCCCGCCCTGGCGACGCCCGCATCTCCAGCTCAAGATGCACGGTTTCCCCCGGGGCCGTAGGCGACACGAGGAGGAGGAGGAGGAGGGAGGAGGAGGAGGAGGAGGAGGAGGAGGAGGAGGAGGAGGAGGAGGAGGAGGAGGAGGAGGAGGTGGAGGAGGGGGAGGGGGAAGGAGGATGGAAAAGGAGGAGGAGGAGGAGGAGGAGGAGGAGGAGGAGGAGGAGGAGGAGGAGGAGTGGGGAGGAGGAGGAGGAGGAGGAGGAGGAGGAGGATGAGGAGGAGGAGGACGGGTCGCTTAAGCCCACCGGAGAAGCCCTCCAGCTCAAGATGGCTCTCTCGCACCGGCGCTGTCCCCCCCCCCCTCGGCTCGGCGTCCTGCTCTCGCTCCAGCGCCGGCCGCGCTGCCGGCTCGGAGCGGAGCTGCTTCGTGAGCGGCCGCGCGGTGGGTGCGCTCCCTCGTCTGAAGGGGCCCCGACACACAAATAAAATGATCCCCCATATTTTCCCATATTTTCTGGATTTCTGTCTTCCCGCCCAATTCCCATATTTTCCCATCTTTTCCTGGGACTCGACGATTAATTGTGTCTGTGCGTTTCTTTCCCTCCTGATCGTCGCCCGTTGGCTCTGGCCAACACGCCCGTCCCAACTCGGACTGTTGCTTGCGCATCATCCCCCGCTGCATTTCCAGGTCGGGATCCTGCTCTCGCCTTCGCGGGACCGCGTTGCCTACCTGGAAGGGTCTCTCTCTCTCTCGGTTCTCGCATCGGCGCCGGCCAGCCCCGACGGCTCGTGTGGTGGCTGATCCCGCTCGTCGCCCGCTGCCCCTCACGGTGCCGCTAGTCGCGTTCGCTGCGCGGAATGGCGCCCCTCCTCCGGTGGAGGCCTCGGAGGGTCTCCAGAGATATCCAGAAGTCCTTCCAGGCCTCCAGAGCTTGTCAGAGGCCTCTGGGAGCAATAGTTACCGAAAGCATCCACCTCGATCTCCAATCCTCCTTCTTCTTCCTCCTCCTCCTCCTCCTCCTCCTGCGTCTCCTCCTCCTGGTCCTTCTCCTGCTCCTTCTCCCCCATCGCCAGCCCCACGTTCAGCTTGGAACTGTCGCGTCCTGGTGGCTTTCGCCAATGGCACCTGGCCACAGCCGCAGCTCGGAAATGCCGCTGGCCAGCGTGAACACACGGGAGGGCGAGGGACCACTACGTCAGAGGAGGGGGGGGTGAATGATGACGATGAGAAGAAGGCGGAGGGGGACAGGATGAGGAATTGGATGGTGGTGACAACCATGATGGTTATGAAGGTGTAACGATGCTGCTGACGACGACGAAACCGACGATGCAAATGTTGATGATGATGGGGATGCTGATGATGACGATGGTGATGAGTATGATGCTGATGGTGATAATGCTGATGATGCCGATGATGATGGAAATGATGATGATGCTGCTGATGATGGTGATGATGCTGATGATGATGGTGAACATGATGATGATGAGGCTGATGCAGATGATGATGAATGTGATGATTGTGATGATGGTGAACATGATGATGAGGGTGATGCTGATGCTGATGACGATGCTGATGCTGATGATGGTGATGCTGATGATGCTGCGGCTGGGGTCCTTGGGTGTTTTTTGGCTTCACTGGACCTCTGGGGAGGAGGAGGAGGAGGAGGAGGAGGAGGAGGAGGAATAGCAGGAGAGAGAGGATGGAGGGAGGGCGGGGTGAAGGAGGACGCGCGCACAGAACTTTGCGGTCACGCCCTGTCTGTGGCAAGGTGCCGGGCAGGCCCGCACCGCCGGAGGGGCTCCTCGCGCAGCCTCGCGGCGCGGCGAGCGGCGAGAGCGCCCGCCACCCTCGGACTGGGAGGCGGCCCTGTCTTCTAGGCGAGTCTGTTTGGAAGCTCATTCAATTTTTTTGTTCCGTCGGCGGCGGGGCAGAGGCAGTCCGCACCAGCGCGTGGCAACTCGGGGCAACCGGATGGCCAATTGGCCCGCGCGCAGGAGAGGGACAAGGGCGAGGACGGCCGCGCGGGGGGGGGGGGGGAAGGGGGGGGGGAAGAGGAAGGGGCGCTCAGACGTGGAAGGGTTCCCTCGCCATCGCTCGGACGTCCATTCCGTGTGTTTTTTCCAGTCTCTTGCGTGGTTTCTTTGCCAAATGATCAAGGATGCTCCTCGATGGTCCTCGCCGAAGGAAAAATGCACACGTCCGAGCTATGCCGAGTTCCGCGTTGAGCGGGAAAACTCACTCTGACGCGCTCAACCCCGGCGTCGTATCCCCCAGTGGCCTCCAGCGGCCCTTCGTGTGAGAGTGGCGGCCCTCGGTGGTCTTTCGTGGCCTCTCAGCGGCCTTTGGTGGCCTTTTGCGGCCCGTGCCGACCATGCGAAAAAGGGTCATGTGCACGTTAGGAAGAGCGTCCAGCAACACTCACTCTACATGTCTTCCGTTCCGTTGTGTCAGCGGCAGGCCGCCTCCAGGCGCGCCGACGAGTCCACGATCCAGCTCTCGCCCGCGCGCAGTGTCGTGTCATGCCTGCCGCTGGCAGCAGGCGCAGCGGGGGGGAGGGCGAGGCGAACCAGAAACTCGCGACGCAGCTGGCCACTCGCCATACTCGCGGGGTGCCACGGGCGAGGGCACACCAGGTACAGTCACCTCCCCAGCCTATTGTTGGACAGTTCTCGAGCATTCCTCCTGTAGGGGGGCACGCCCGACTTACTGCCGCGGGCGAGGGCACACCAGGTAGTGGTTCACCGCGTCGGGCGCCTCGCAGCCCACGTGGCACTGCTGTTTTGTCCTTCAGCAGCACGCGCATGCGGTGAGACGTGGTCTGGCTTCCAGGGTTTTCAGCGTCGCCCGCGCTCCCGATGGAGGCAACGTCGCCGCGTGCCCGCGCAAACGGAACCAGAGCTTCTCGAGGTCCGCAGGAAGCCTCTGAAGACCCACCAGGTCCACGGGAGGGCCATCAGCATCAGGAGGCACGACGTCGGGTGGACCATCGGGGTCCCGGAGACGTACTTCGGGAGGAACTCGTGGTTGAGGGTCGTCGGTCCAGCGGCGCCTGGAGCGGGGGAAGGCGGCCCCTTCGTCGCGTAGCTCTGCTTGCCCACGAACTCGGCGAAGAGCGGCACCCAGGTCGCCAGACAACAGCACCCACGGCCGAATGCTGCGTAGATTCTTCCACGCCGGGTGACGCACTTCCCGCGCGACCCTCCTCTTCTGGGCGGTCGCGGCGGGCGCCGAGAGCCTGGGGCTCCTGCGCCCGACGGCGCCGTCAAGGTGCAGGGCGCGCCAGCTCGCCCAATCATCCCTGTTCGGGCGTTGCTAGAAGTACCCCTGGCTCAAGGCGCCCCGAGGA